CAAGGAATATATAATACAGGGTTGCAGAAATCTAAAATGACAGAACATTCATTAAAATAATAAAGAATACTAACAACTGCTTTATGATCCAGTAGTGATGTGTAAATATTTAAAAGAAAAAAATGGGGCAACGAATCTTTTAGATCTTCTGCAAAGGCACAATAAAATACAAGATGATAAAATAGAAAAAGAAAAGCGTTTTTATTTGCAAGAATAAAATGCTGGTTGAAATATAAAAGATATTAGGGTAAATACTGGTGTTTATTATCTTTTACCTTTTGTGGAGAATGTAGACACATTTGTAAAAAGAAAAAGTAAAGGTACTATGAGTATTACATTGCAAAGTAATATGTATATGTCTTCTATAACAGAAAATCTCAAGAATCGCCTTTGGATCAAAGCTTCTGGTAAAACTTGGGGATTAATGAGTCATGAAAAGAGGGCCATGGTTGGAAAAAACAAAGAAATGAAAATATTCATTGGAGAAAAATCAATATGATTCTTTTAAAAAGGAAAAATGTTATGCAACAGATTATGCCATAGAGGAAAAATCATGAGGCACCAAATAATATGAAATTATATCAATGTGAGCAAAATAATTCATGACTTCTTTAGGAAGAAAATTTACAAATGAAAACTTTAAGATTGAAGAATGTTGAGACCAGAAAATAAGTATGTGAGATGTAGCTAACAACCAGGAAGATAACAATATTTACAGAAGAGAACAATAATTAAGAAAGTCATGATCCCAATTGTGTTTACATGATATTTACATTGTGAATGATACATTTTACCTCAAGAAATTCTGTGTTGACACTCACATATGCTCATAAAAATCTTTGAGTACAGACTTGTTTTCCTATCAAATCATAGTACCACAAAAATAAAAATATTGAAAACATAAATTTAAAAAATTGGTAAATATGATTACCAATATAAATATAAAAATTGAACACTTTGTACCAGAATAAAAATACTATAAACAAAATGAACAGTCTGGAGAAAAAATATGCAACCAAGGGTAAAATGCTACCTTTTCAGTATTAAAAAAAAAAAAAGTATAAATATTAATTAAAATAAAATTAGTTATCCCATGGAAGAATTGACAAAAGAGAAGGATAAATGGTTCATCTAGCTAATACCACATCAGTTGATGGTATGTTAAATTGGTATCACCTTCTTAAAGGGTAACACCTGTCAAATTTTTATTAGAGAAAGGGCACCAAGAATGTTTTAGGGAGAGGAGGAAACAGCCTATAGTTACAAAGTAATTTTCTATCAGTTGTTTCAGAAAAGGGGCAATAGAATTTTAGAAAATATATAAAACTTGGAGTATAGATATCTTCTAGGACTACACCTATGCTGAACCCCATTAAAGTTGGTCAGTGTGATTACCTAAGGTTTCTAGTTAATCACTCTAGATGGCTCTGTCACTCCACTAGTAAATAAACAAGATAGTCATGTAGCAGAAGTTGTTTAGGTGAGGGCTCTTTTCCAAATGATATTTTAGTTAGTCATAATGGAACACTCGCCTTCCAAATTATTAACAACAAAGAAGATTATAAGTGGTCTAACCCGAGATGAAGGCAAATAATACAGGGAATATTTTATAATTTGCTATAAAGAGATGTCACTCCCAATCATCAAAGAAAAAAGCTTTTATAAATTTTTGGAATTAAAAATATATGATAGATTCCATATAAGAAAGTTCTTCAGACCCAAAGCGATTACTCAAGTGTTTCTACGCCAACAGACTGACCTACAGAAAGCTACATGAGGGAAAAATAATATTTTACTAGCTTTCAGTTGTGGTCTAAACTGTTGGTAATTCAGAGAATAAGTTTTTGTTCTACTAACTATCTGGAAATCTTGTTAAAATACCCACCAAGGGCTTTAAAATTCAGCAACATACTCTTGAATCTCTTGTCAGTTAATGGAAAAATTTATCCCTTAGGAATTCTAATACAGGCCAATAGAAGAGTCAAGAAGAGAGTGTTACAACACAACTATCTGTCTTCACAGGTGGAAGGCCCAACCTGAAGATTTAATCTCAGGTGACTGCAGGGACAATTTAACAAAAGATAAGAGGTCTCAGACTCTGGGATTCTCTGCCTGTCTCTCTCTGATCATAACCCCGGTTCCTGTAATAATAGAGCCAAACATTGTCCCTGTTTTCAGAAAAATGTATTTGCCCAAAGATACACAACTATAAAGATGCAAAAATGACGGTTATAAGCCACTATATTTATGTACCACTATGACCACCATCTTTTGATATAATCTCTGTTTACTCATACCATTTGCTCTGTAGCATCTTTACGCACACTAATATAGATTTGACATGAAGCTATAACCCACTCTCTCAACTGGACCAAAAAAATGATATTTATTGTCCATTTACAAAAATTTTTCAATAATTAAATTCTTAGAAAAGTCATATTTTTGAGATGTAGAGAATACATATTGTCAACCCGGTTATTTTTAAATAAAGTTGTATCAATTATATATATATATATATATATATATATATATATATATATATATATCAATTCTACCCCAACTTTATCAGCAGTGTTATCAAATTTTTTAAATTTGCTATTTAATATGGCTCTATTTTACTTAATAGTACAATATATCATACTATTTTCCAACTGTGTTTTCTCTTCTGAATTTCAGCCCATGTCAATTGTCTGCGTGTCTTTTGTAGTCTTGATATTTTCTTCATAACTTTGTGTGTACCCTTAATATTTTATAGATATTATATTGTCATATCTGATATAAAAAGTAAGAAATTAGCCCTGGCCAGTTTGGCTCAGTGGTTAGAGTGTTGGCTTGCGGACCAGAGAGTCCCAGGTTCGGTTTCCGCTAGGAGCACGTACCGAAAAAAAGAAAAGAAATTATGTGTTAAATAATAGCCTATGAAGGAAAATTTTATTTATTTTGCATTGCTTGCATGAAAATTAATTAAGTTAAAAAAAGTACATTGTCAGTTACTACTTAAAATTAATGGCAGCAATGAAAAATTATGTATTTTTAAATAGCACAATTACTTTATATGAGCTTGGACAACAATCATATAAATATAGCATTTTTAATACTGACAGTAATCAATGTTATCTGTTGCTGCCAATATTAGTTACATACAGTCCTTCGTATAAGTATTGAATCCAGTTATGTCAAGTAGAATTTGTCCTATATATAGCCCCAGGTGTGGAGCTTGGACAACAAATATATAAACCACAATACAAGAATCCAGCAAATATAGCCCAATATGTTTCAAATGTTATTTAATACTATTATTTTCATCCCAGATGATACCACCCACATCACTTGGAATTTTTATGACTCCAGGAGATGTCATAGAATATGAAATGTTCTCAAACAAAGAACACTGAATGAACTAAAAAGTGTCCCTAGGTAATAAAACTAAGTAAAATTTCCACATTAGAGCACCTGTCATTTAATTCAGGAGAGGACTTGCCTTCCCCAGCTGGTTCCACCTCAAGCTTCTAGAACTGGTGTCAAGGTACAAGTCTTTTCATCCCTCCCAGTTGCCCTCCTTCCCTCCCACTTGCACTTCCATCTGAACCAACACTTTTTGTATTCATCACACCAAAGACAAAAGCTAGCCCTCACTTAGGGTTTGCCAAATTCACTCAAGATAGCCTGATTGAAATGCCCTTTTAAGGGAGGACACTGTAGTTCTTCCAACTCAGGGTAAAGACTGTCACCACAGTGGCTTCTTGGTATCCAATGTCAAGGGTATATCATCCCTATTTCTCAGGAACCCCCGGAAAATGATGAGCATAGAACACCTAGGCAATACATTGTGTTCACCTGCACTGTGACAAGAACAAAGGGTGACTTCCTTTCTAGCCCCAAATGGAGATTTCTCTCTGGTTTACTCACAGTGCCAAAGTAACTTTTAGCAGCCATTTTCCATTATACACTGAATGTTGATTCCCACTCCCACCAACACCCCAATTCAAGCATTGAAGCCCTAACCCCCAGTGTGATGGTATTTGAAAGTGGAGTCTTCGGGGAGTAATTAGATTTAGTTGATGTCATGTGTATGGGGTGGTCTTGATGTGATTAGTGTTCTTCTAAGAAACACAAGAGATATGAGATCCCTCTCTTCACCATGTCAGGACATAGGGAGAAGGAGACCATTTGTCAGCAAGGAAGAGAGCTCTCACCAGAAACTGAAATCACTGACACACTGATGGTAGATTTCTCAGGATCCAGAACGGTGAAAAATTTTGTTTAAGCCACCCAGTCTGTGGTATTTTCTTAGAGCAGGCCCAGCAGACTAACACACTCTTTGTTTGACAACTCTCAAGCATACCATTGGCTGTACTGGCCTATACTCACCATTTCCACAAACTCCACTGGCCCACCACATATTGTACATGACAATTACATCCCACTAAGGACATGTAGTTGACTAATGTCCAAAATGGCCTTGCTCAGAAATTTTCTGTTTAACCATTCTCATAAGAAACAACCTCTTCCTCACCCATTCTTTTTACTTTACCTCTAGGTCCTAATGGGTGCTTCAAAATCTTACTCATATGAATGCAACTTGCAGGTGATAAAATTATGTCAGTAGAGGCTGAATTTCCTTTAGCATCCCCAGTACCAACATTGAGAATTCGCAATAGCAGATAGTCAGTCTGTGGTGGTAAGGAGTCAGCAAACAAAATATCTAATTTATTAAGATTTAATTTATCTTGCTTCTAGAATAAACAAAGAACATCAAAGTATAACGCAGTTAATTTTACAAAATGGAGATAAAACAGGAACAAGAAAAACTAAGATCGTGCCTTTTTTCTTTTTCCTATTCCATTATCCCAACAAATAGACTTTGGAATCCTGTTACATTTCCAAGAATAGTATATCTATTGTGATGTTATATATTCTGCTCTGGAAGACAGAAAGCCTCAGAGTTCTCTAGTGGTGGAAAGGTTGTGCTGACCATGGCCTTGAAAAGTGCTCAGAGATTAGCGGTAGTAGCAGCCCTGGAATGCATCTCTGGCCTGGACTCTCTCTTCCTCAACTCGCAAAGCCTCTTCATAACAACAAGGGGAGGCACTAGGGTGGGTATCATTGACCTTCGCCCAAAACTCTAGCACTTTCATCTTGCTGGTTTCAAGATGGGCTTTTGGACCCCACAGGAACTCATAGCGTGGAGGATCACTGTCGGACACCTGGTGGTACTCCAGGTACTTTAGCCTTACAAAATCTTTGGTGATGAGCTTCCTGGGTTCCCCAAAGACAGAGTGCTTCCTCCCAGGGTACACTTTCATCAGACGCAGATCTCTCCAGATCTCTTCCTCACAGACACTGTTGCCATTCATGAAGATCAAACCCAGGATATGCATCAGAAGACCGGTCCTGGGTAATCCTCTGCCAGCATGGACTCTCCCATTATTGGGATGCTTCAGTTTGCTGACAAGAGCATACGAGTGACTGGTTGAGTCGACTTCATTCGTTTCTAATGCAAAGAAGATTTCAATTTGCTCAGAGGCTCTCTTCAGCAAGTCAGCAAATTGATCTTCATAATCTTCCCCGATAATATGCAGCATGTCTTTCTTCAAAATGGGCTGTCTCAATTTATACTTGGACAGAAGGAATAGCTCCAAACACACAGTCTTGTTGGCAAAATCATCCACCTCTTTGAACTCAGTGAAGAGTGGGGCCTCAACGGAGCCTGCCCCATCCTCTTCTTGGCTGTTGGAAGCTTCATCAGATCCCTGGCAAGAAATGCCTATAGAAGTAGTGGTGGTGATTGGTGTGCTTTCAGGGCCCTGGGAAGTACTACGTGACCCAGCATTAGGCAGACCCTGGCTAATAGTTTCAAACTGATGAGAGGAGGAGGGAGTGGACTCCTCTTCTGCTGCTTCAGTGGCCTGAACATTGCCACAACTCTGAGGCACACTTCGGGCCTGGCAGCGTTTCTTATTGCTGTGACCACGAGGCATGATGACACTATGGTCAGGGGTAGCAGGCAGGAGTCCGAACAGGAAATCAGGAGAGGTACAGACCTGGGTGAAAGAGAATGAAATGGTTTGAGTGCCCTCAGGGGCAAGATTGATCCTACCTTGGTTTTAACCAAGGCCGCCTGTGCAGGTTTCCTTTAAGGCAGTGTTCTAGCAACCCACAGGGCTCCCGCTCTGACCACACTCCTCCTTGAGAAATCTGTGGAGGCAGTTGGAGGCTAACTTAGGCTACAGTTTGCCAGCATTGTGTAGGGTGCTCTGAGTGACAGCAAGGAGCTCTGCTAGTGGGGAACCTCTGTTCTAGGGTGTGGGTTTTTTCTCAGTTCACACTCAGAATCTTCATGTCAAGTATTAGCAGGTCCTGGGCCCCCTCTATTCTACTGCTGTGAAGTTGACACCTTTAACCAAAGATAGCACCTTCCTGAGACCCCACAGAAGACAGTGAGAGGTTCCTCAGGTCCTATGCCTGACAGTGGGCATGCAACTGAGAGTTATGCAGAGCCTCTCCTTCATGGGCTGCTTGGGTCTCCACTTCTCCTACAGGGTACTCACCTGGTCTCCAGGTAGTGCCTGGTATACCTGCCTTCTGCTGACTGGTGGCTGCACCCTGACCCTAAAGACCTCTTTTCACTGACATTAGATATAAATAAGTGAGTGTGAGGGTCAGCCTGTGAGGCCTGCCTAATCCTTCAGATTCTGAATGCAAAGGCAGAGTTCAGAATTCTTGTAATCTTATTCAGGGGTGGGTGGTCCCCTAAGTCTTTCTGTTAACTTTTGGCATAGGCTGGGACTCCTCTCGGCTGCTAGTATTTCCTCTTAACACCCCTCAGGAGGATGTGTGTCACCCTACATGCCCATGTTCTCCAGGGCTGCGAATAGGGGTTCTCTTGTGCTGCTGTTGTGGGTGTTCCCTCAGATATGGTCCACGGAGCCACTAAACTCCTGTAAAGACCTGCATAACCTGCTACTGCTGAGGGTAAACCGTCCCTGTTAAATGAGACCTCCCAGTTCCTCTGCCCAGCAACCCCCATCCCCCACACCACCCCTGGGCCCAGAACACCAAAGGAGAAAATGAGTGTCAGTCATCATGTCCAGGAAACTGCAGGCTTCAGTGGGGCAGCAGAACAATGATTCCCTAGGTGGCCACCTGGGAAGCCTCCTAACTCGAGCCCCTCCCCTCGGGCCATGGCCTTCTCACCCCTGTGACCCTGCTTGCAGAAGCAGCCTGACAGCCTCGCCCAGGCCTGCCAGGGTTGAGGGCAGCAGCAAGTTCCGTGCCTCCTCACTGATGGGGGTGGGCCAGCAGTTTAGAACACTCAGAGTTCCCTCTTTCATTCCATTCGGGGCGTGGTACCCTTCTTCTCAGGTCAAGGCCTTCAGCTTCCCGATCTATCCACTAGGGGAGGACGGTTCACATCCTCCAGACCTGCATGCTTGGCTCCTCAGGGAGCTGCAAACAGGTCCTTGGTAGGACTCTCAGCCTCCGTTACTGCACCTTGACTCTTGTCAGGGTCTTCTTCTCCTCTGCTGACCTGGGCCTGCCCGCCTATTCCGAGGCCCACACCTTCCTGAGACCCTCTGGCTGGAAATCTCGGTCCGCCTGACTGCTTTGCCCAGGGTCCCCTAGGCCTGAGAACAGGGGCGGGGCTTGGGGGCACTGGCTGATGCTCCCCTCTGCCCTGGGTGCTTCCCTCATTCTCTATTCAGCCTCCTCAACTTGATTGGCGCTAGAACCTGCGCCTCCTCACTCGCCTGCTCCGAGTTCGCCCACCTGAGGTAAAGCTTCTCACTTCCGAAGACGCGATAGGCGGGAGCCAGGGCCACTCCTCAGGTCACCAGCGACAGGGCCTCTCAAGGCTGACAGCGCCCCCTCTGTTCTGGGGTGGAGCATACCGTCAGTCTCACAAGATTGTCAATCACACCACTCCCAGGACCCTGGGCGCTTCCCCAGGCCACAGACCTTTCACCAGGGCCCTCACCTCCCAGAGGTGTCCCCTGCCCAAGTCAGCCCCTAGGCTACATCTAAGAGAAGACGAGGGGAAATGTCTGCTCCAACCGCTCTGTGATTGCGTCCTTCTTCGGGGTCTGCATCTGGGCTCCGCTCTCTTCAATGAAAGGCCGCTGGGAAACGCCACAACCCTGCAAACTCCTGAGCAATCCACCTGCTGATTGTCTACCAGAGAATGGGTCTGTGTCCCAGCAGTGATGAGAGATGGGGAAGCTGAGGTACCAGGCAGAGGACTCAGGGTAGAAGGACCTAAGGAACCAGGCAGAGCATTTAAAGTAAATGGACCTGTGACCAGGCAGAGCACTCGGGGAAGATGGAAATAAGGTACCAGGCAGAGGACTCAGAGTAGATGGAACTCATTTACCAGGTAGAGGACTCAGGGTAGCCAGACCTAAGGTACCAGTCACACTCGTGGAATAAATGGACTGCTTGCCAGGCAGAGGACTCGGGGCAGATGGACCTAAGGTATCGGGCAGAAGACTCGGGTGTAAGGAGGTCAGAGGATTCCAGGTAGAGGGAGCTCTGGAATCAGGCAGAGGATTTTCGGTAGATGGAACTAAGGAACTAGGCAGAGGACTTGGGTTAGACAGAAATAGATTATGAGGCAGAGGACTCGAGATTGAAGGAAGTATGGTACCAGGCAGAGGATTTGGGGTAGACCAACCTAAGGTACCAGGCAGAAGACTCAGTGTGCAAGAAGGTGAGAGAATTCTAGGTAGAGGGAGCTTCGAAAGCAGCCAGAGGACTCAGGGTGGACAGACCTAAGGTACCAGGAAAGGACTGGGTGTGTAAGAAGGTAAAGTACTAAGCAGGGGACTCAGGGTAGAGGGAGCTAAGTTATCAGGCAGAGGACTCGGGGTAGTTGAATCTAAGGTACCAGGCCATGAACTCAGCGCACATGGCCCTAACTTACCAGACAATGGGCACGGGAATATGGAGCCAAGTTATTAGGCACAGCATTCAGGGTAGATGGAGCCAAGGTATCAAGCAGAAGGCTCAGAGTAGAAGCTAAGGTACCTGCCAGAAGATTTAGGATAGAGGGATCTAGGAGAGTAGGCAGAGGACTTGGGGTAAACAGAGTTGCGGGGCCAGGCAGAGGACTCCAGGTAGAAGTCGCTAGGGTACCTGGCAGAAGACTCAGGGTCCAGGGAGGTAATGTACCAGGTAGAAGACTTGGGATAAATGGCAGGTTCTCAGACAAAAACATACAAATAAAACCCATGATTTTCTATTACTTTTGTTTAGGAACCAGGTGTTTTTGTTAAGGTAGCTTCTGGTCCAAAAGATCTATTCCGTATAGGAAACAGACAATTTTATGAGATCCCATTGTACATGTTCATATTATTACCAGATATTTTATCCTGTATTTTATTAGTTATATTTCTCAATTTTTTGTTATTCTGATTGCCCTGCATTCCAATGGCTATGCATTCCAATCTACCACGTTGAGAACATTTTTTTTAATTGCCTGAGACATATTTTGGAGTTATGAGAAGAAAAGTGAATGAAGATACACAAGGTCTGCTTCAGGGTGGGAGTGGTGGAACAGTGTGTGTCTTCTAGAGGAATTCCAAGGAGGGGTCTGTCACTTACCACCTTGTCATTGTCAAAACATGACAAGTTCTTCATCTGCTCACTGAGTTTGATAAACCCTATCTTGTAAGACTTTGGGAATGTATTTGTTGTATGTGAAGCATCTGTCAATATGACAGCCAAATATTAAGTATTAAATGCATGGCACTTATTATTTTTACCTAGAGAGTATCATCATAAATAGGCATTTATTTTATAAGTCAGCATATAGATGTCTGAGAAAATGTGATGCTCTTAAAAGAACTCCGAATCAGCCAAAATTCACTTTGCAAGAAAAAAATAAATAGCTTTTCTCCATTAGTGCATTTATTGTTTAGTATTGGGTTAGTGCAGTGTTGTCCCCTACCTTCATGCAACTCATAGTTTCTAGAATTTCATCAAGGGCCAACATACTCAGTCCTTTCCAGCTGTCTTTCCTTCCAAACCAACTCTATTTACTTTCTCTTTCCACCAAATTCTAGCACTGTCTTAGAATTTGCCTAACTACACTCAAGATACCCTAACTGAAATGCTCTTTTACTGCAGTGGTATCTGATTCTACCAGTTCAAAGCAAAAAGTGTCAACAAGGTGACTTCTTTGCATCTCACTTCCAGGGAGTTTACCATTTGTCAGAAACTCCCTGGAGAGTGTGCAAACAAAACCCATGTATGTACTCTATTTTCATGCATTCAGATGAGAGCAGAGACACCATTGCTTCTGCCTGTTGGGAGCTGAAATTGTCCCCCCAAAATTCATGCTACTTTCACAATCCCCAGTACCTCCAAATATGACTGTAGCTGGAAATAAGATCTTTAAAGTGAAGCTTTCTTTAAAATGAGGCCATTAGAATAGGCTATAATCTAATCTTAGTGGAGCCCTTACAAGAGTTGAGGACCCACCATGAGATACCAGGCTTGTACTCACACAAGGGAAAACCGTGAGAAGAGGGTATCCATTTGTAATACAAGAAGAGGACTTGGAGCAAAGGAATCCTGCTAGCACTTTGACATTGGAATTCCAGACTCCAGGCCTGTGACAAAATAAATTTCGGGTGTTTAGGCCACCCAGTCTGTGGTATATTGTAAAGGTAGCCTGAGATACATCATACAGAGCTGCAGACATAGATTTATTTTCTGGATTATCTGCCTTCCCATGTTATTTCCTAAGAGCATGTTCAAGGGCCTCCTATTTGCCCCATGAGGTGAGGATGGAATTTTGGCAGCGTGGTATTGTGGTGTCCAAAATCACAGTACTGGACCCTGTGGAGCTGAGCTACACAGATATTTATCAAATCATGTATACTCACAAGATTGGGGTAGAGGACACCAGGTGCCCCACAGTGGCATTTGAGGGTTGCACTCAGAAACAGTGAGTGAACAAGCTCAGTGGGAGGCAGGATAT